CGAGCGACACCTGGTGGCGACTCGGCGGTGACAAAGTGTCCCGGGGGGTCAGTTGGTGGCATCTGAGTGTCCCTTCCTGCCACATCTCCCGGCTCCTCATCTGTGTGTCCTGTCACCCTCAAAGGTGACACCTCCCTGGGGACACGTGTCCTCACTCCTGGAGTCCTCATTCATTCGTGTCCCCACCCTGGTGTCCCCACTCCTGGTGTCCCCACTCCTGGTGTCCTCATTCCTTGTGTCCCCCCATCCCTAGTGTCCCCACTCCTCGTGTCCCCCACCCCTCACATGTCCCAGTGCTCAAGGGGAGGACAGGTCCTACTCAAGGGTGACCCCAGGGGGTGACATGTCCTTCTCCCCCAGGGTGACAAGTGTCCCACTCCTCTAGGACGTCCCTGCTCCACCAGGTGACCCAGGTCCTGCTCCTTGAGGGTGACATGTGTCCCACTCCCCCTGTTCCCACTCTCAGGGGGTGACAAGTGTCCCCTTCCTTGAGGGAGCCACAGATCCTGCTCAAGGGTGACCCAGGTCCTGCTCCTTGAGGGTGACATGTGTCCCACTCCCCCTGTTCCCACTCTCAGGGGGTGACAAGTGTCCCAGGGGGTGACAAGTGTCCCACTCCTCTAGGACGTCCCTGCTCCACCAGGTGACCCAGGTCCTGCTCCTTGAGGGTGACATGTGTCCTACTCCCCCCTGTCCCCAAGCCCACGGGGTGACACGTCCTCCTCCCACATAGTGACAATTGTCCCATGGGGTGACAAGTGTCCCCCTCCTCTGGGAGGTGTCCCTGCTCTACCAGGTGACCCAGGTCCTGCTGAGGGCCACCTGTGTCCCCAAGCCCAGGGGGTGATGTGTCCTTCTCCCCCAGGGTGACAAGTGTCCCACTGCTCTAGGACATGTCCCTGCTTTACCAGGTGACCCGTGTCCTGCTCCCTGAGGACGTGTCCCCAAACCCAGGGGGTGACAAGTGTCCCCTTCCTTGAGGGAGCCACAGGTCCTGCTCCTTGAGGGTGACATGTGTCCCACTCCCCCTGTCCCCAAGCCCAGGGGGTAACACATCCTCCTCCCACATAGTGACAATTGTCCCACGGGGTGACAAGTGTCCCACACGGTGACAAGTGTTCTTCTCCTCTGGGAGGTGTCCCTGCTCTACCAGGTGACCCAGGTCCTGCTCCGAGGGCCACCTGTGTCCCCAAGCCCAGGGGGTGACAGGTCCTGCTCAAGGGTGACATGGTGTCCCACTCCCCCTGTCCCCAAGCCCAGGGGGTGACGTGTCCTCCTCCCACATAGTGACAAGTGTCCCAGGGGGGTGACAAGTGTCCTTCTCCTGCAGGGTGACAAGTGTCCCAGGGGGGTGACAAGTGTCCCACTGCTCTGGGACAGGTCCCTGCTCCACCAAGTGACCCAGCTCCTGCTCCAGTGTCCCCTTCCAAGGTGACAAGTGTCCCCACCCCTTCCTGGTGACAACCCCACCCCCCCCCCAAGTGACA